TTAAACTTTCAAAAGAAACCACTTGCTGAAAGTTCTGAAGCTGGGGATGCCAGAGGAGCCGCTGGGAATCAAACAAGTGAGCAAAAACCGAATGTGACTTTTGGCCCCAGGGGTGAGAGAGATGGAGATGAATGCTGACAGGCTCCTGCTCGACAAGGGCCTCTGTGGAGTGGAAATGGGTGACTCACAAATCAGAGTGGCATTCCCCCTCCACGGGCCGTCCCGTGAGCAAGGCCCGAGCAGCCCCACCCAAGCCCGTCAACGCACCCGCTCCCCGACTGGGGTGTCGCCAGGCAGGCCCTGCCACCCCTAATGCAGGACACGTGCTTGGGGGTACAGCTTTCACCTCAAAGACAAACACGGATTTAGCCCAGCAGGTACTTCTCCAGCACCAAAAAAAGCAGCACACATTTTATCCTAGAGCTAACGCGGCCATGAGCGTTTTCGGGAATATCTTCTAGTCCTGGCTCTGCTACTGGTAAACTGAGTGAACTTGAACTCAAGTACGTCACTTCGTTTTTAGGGGCCAGAGTCTCCCTGGCTATCAAGTAAAAAGTGCTCCTTGTCTTGTGGAAGAGGTAGACATGTAAGCAGCAATGACGTCGGAAGTTGGTGATGATGTGTGTGGGGTCCAGGTGAAGGATAGATTCATTCCACAGAGGGGAGGCGACATTTGGAGTGGGTCCCGGGAAACCCATAAGTTTTCCAAGTCAGGCAAGAGAGAAGGATGTTCCAGGCCAGGCAACATATTCCTTAAGGGCCGGAGGCAGGAGAGGACAGGGAGATCTGATGAGGCCTGTGTGTGGGAGAAGCCGTCAGTCTGAGTGCGTGAGAGGGGGAATATGGCTTCCTGCCTTCAGCAGAGGGTGGCCCTCCTGGCTCCTGCTTTGGGTGGCTGGGCAGGTGATGACTTAATTAAATAAAACACCCAAAGCAGGAGATGCTGGAAAAAGTGATGAATCTCATTTCTGACATGTTGAGATGAAAGTATCCATAGTTCAACCAACGGACATGTCGGGCAGACAGCTGGATAAACATGGCCAAAGCTCAGAGGGGTGGTTGAAGCCAGAGATGCAGACCTGGGTGTCATCGGCTTACGTGCATCTACATCGTTTCAAAGTTCCTCTCTAAATCCAAAGTCATCGGATCTGCGATTGTAAATTTTGTAAAAGGAAAAGTTCAAAAATAAACCTCTCTTCTCTCCCTGGACTAATGAGGCACCTCAGTATGTTCTTCCCTGACTCCTGTTGGCTGTTGTTTATGGGCCACTGCAGGATATTCACAGGATTCCTGCTACTAAATTTTGTTTGCGTTTCTGTCAGCAACTAGTTGCAGTATTTTAGACAACGTAGCATGGCCTCAGGCCAGATAATTAAATTGTAACTGGACACCCAGTTGATGATGAATCCCAAAAAGGCTTCAGCGATTCTCATCGCTTATCAGTGGCTCCCCCTGTTACGCGAAATACAGTTCAGGCTCTTTGGTTTGACATTCAGGTCTCTGTTTCCGTCTCTCTGATCGGTAGCCACATCACGAGCAGCCTTACGGAGAGGCCCATGCGGTGGGAAACGGAGGCCACCAGCGCCCAGCCACAAGAGGGAGTCTGGGTGCAGGTTCTCCTGCCCAGTCAAGTCTTCAGGGGACTGAGGCCCCCGCTGACATCTTACCTGCAGTCTCTTGAGAGACCCCTGAGCCAAAAGCCCCCAGCCAAGCCACTCCTGGGTTCCTGACCCTCAGAAACTGTGAGATACATGTTTGTTGCTTTCAACCCCCAAGTTTTGGGGTAATTTGTTAAGATAGGATCAGGAGAAGGAGACCTGAGTTCTTCTGACAATACATGGAGAATGGTCAGGGAGGGTTGAGGCTGATTTCCGCCGTTTGGAAGGAGAGGTCTGCAGAGAGCCGCAGGTCTGGGTCTCGTGCTGACGCTTCTGTCCATGCAATGAGTGGCCTTGAAAATGTCTAATCTCCTGTTTGGGCCTCAGTTTCCTCAATTGTAAATGGAGAGGGAGCACCAGTTCCAGGCTTCATTCTAAAACCCTTACATATGTCCTGCACTCGATAGTTTGAAAAATGTTTTTCTATATTATGGTCAAGACTTGGGGATGACAAAGACTAGTCCCCACAACTTGAAAGCAAGGGAAATGAGAATGGTTTTGGGGCATTAAACATCAAAATCAGCACATGTGGATTATGACAGAGACGTACAAAATTGCCATGTTTAGGAATAAACTGGCTGTATATGATGAAACTATACAATTACCTTCTTATCAATGAGCGATGGGAAATACCATGAATGCTCATTTTTTTAATGCATTAAAAGCTCTTAGAGGAGTTTCTGGAATATAGTAAGAACTTAAAAGGTGTTACTTATTATTTTTTAAATATATACCCAAGGGAAACATTGTAAACTAATAAGTGGGTTATTAAGAGAGATCAAGATTTGCTATATCATAAAGAAAGGAGCACATTACCAGAGTTTATTAAGAATTCTCACTTGGGGGGCGCCTGGGTGGCTCAGTCAGTTAAGCGTCTGCACTTGGCTCAGATCCTGATCTCAGGGTCCTGGGATCGAGTCCCCACATAGGCCTCCCTGCTCAGCAGGGAGTCTGCTTTTCCCCTCTGCCTCCCCCCCGCCCAGGTTGTGCTCTCTCTCTTGCTCTCTCCCTCTCTCTCAAATAAATCTTTAAAAAAAAAAAAAGAATTCTCACTTGGTGTCCCAATAAGAAGCCAGGCTGCTCTGCACAAGGCTGGGCAACGGAGCCAATTGACAACCACATGCAGACACCAGAGGCGGATGCCTGAGATGCTCAGGCAGGATGCTTGGTCATCACCTGCCATCAGCGCTTCCGTAAGTTGGGTGTGACTTCCAATCACTGTTGTTCTTGAATTCATCAAAGCACTTTGTAAAACTCTCTATAGTTCTTATCCTTCTTGGTACTTCTTGGGGGGGGGGGGGGGCGCGTAATTGCTGCATTGTTATAATTTGAATATCATTTTGTTCCTCTCTGATGTTCATCACAACGTTCTTTATCTCCCAGGAAATAGGAAGGGGTAGGGTGGGTGATTGCTTGGGACTTTGCTCTATTTAATAAGCTAGAGTGAAAAGTTTGAAAATCTTTGACTTCATGGCCATCTTGGGCCCGGCTTGGTCACTATGTGATTGAATGTATGAACCTAGTTAGAGCAAAACTGTGCCAATCGGCCGTGGGCTGGCAATGGAAGCCAGTGGCAGGAGGGGAATGGCCGGGACTCAGGCTGTCAGTGCCCATCCACAGCTCTCCAGTGACGAGAGCACCTCGGTCAGTAGTCCCGGTGGAAAGAGTATATCTAATATGAAGATGCACACAGGGGACTGCATCCAATAGACTTAGAACATCCCTGCTCTCTTGGCAAAGTCATCCTTGATATTGAAGGGATAAATCAGACCCTATCAGCACTGGGACATTAAATATTTGATTCTTCTTGCCAACCCCTTTTTCCCAACACCATCCTCATTAAGTGAAATTCTAATTATGCTATGACTTTCCCTACAGGTCTCTAAGATGTTGGTCATATAGAGTTTAAATATTTTGACCAGTATCTCCAGATAATGAACTTTCTGTGTTTATACCCTGTCCAAAGTCAATATTGCCATTCCCTTTGACATGATCTCAGCCTTCTAATTGATCTCCCAGATTCCATTCTTGCCATTGTTGCACTGGCCTGAAAAACGATGATTTCTCTAATGTCCATTTATTAAAACATTATCTCATAGGAACTTTTCAGTGAAGGCAAATGGTTTTATTATCCCTATAAACAGATGAAGAAATTGAGAATCATAAGTAGTGAGTGACTGTAACAGTAAGTTGTAGGACTGGGACTCAAACCCAGAGTTGGTACATTGTTACTATTGGTTTTGGGTACTTCACAATCGCTGATTACATAAGAGTAGTTTGTCATAAGGAACTAGTACGAGGACAGGCACATATTGCATCTTAATCTATACTTCCTAGAGCTCTGTAAGGTGGATAGTTTGCAGATGAGAACACTGAGGCCCAGAGAAGTTAGATAAATTGCCCAAAACATGCAGCAAGCAACAGAGTCTGGATTCAGACAGTACATTTTGAAAGTGTATTATTCTTTTACTTTATGCTTCATATATTTTTACTTTTAAGAACTATCCTAAACATTCCATTTTAATTTACATCCATGTTTACAGTTTTTAAAAATTCCATGTCGAACCTTTTAAAATCGGAATTCTATTTTCCTTAAAATTCACGTGGATGTGAATGTGTGTGTATGTTTTCTATTGTTGCCATAACAGAGTACCACAAAGTGAGTGACTTGAACAACTCGAATTTATTGTTTTAGATTTCTGTAGATGAGAAATCTAACGCTAGTCTCACTGGGCTAAAATCACGGCGTGGGCAAACCTGTATTCCTTTCTGGAGGCTCGAGAGGGAAATTTGTGTCTTTGTCTTTTCCAGTTTCTAAACATCACTCGCATCCCTTGGCCTGTGGCATCTTCTTCCATCTGCAAAGCCAGTGAAACAGGCTGAGTTCTTCCTATGCGGCCGTCTCTAGCTTTCTGCAGCTGGGAGCGATTGCCTGCTTTTAAGGACTCAGGTGAATAGATTAGAACCACTTGAATAATCCAGTGTAATCTTCCCATCTCAAGGTTCTTAACCTTAATCCCATTTGCAAAGTCCCATTTGCCATGTAGGGATTAGGATATGGACGTATTGGGGGCCATTATTCTACCTATCAGTATATATATATATGATATTAATATATAATACATTGTATATATACATATGAATTTTACATGTATTGTATATTTCTATTATACATTATATAAATATTATATAATCCATGCATCTTAAATTTTCTGCATATATACTGAATGTGCATATATATGTACATGTATGTATGTATATACATATGATATCGTGAAATAACTATGACTCTTTTTCCCAGTTGCTATAAGGGCTTAACTTCCCCCATATTGCATGTCAGTCGTGGGGTGACTGAGGGGCTCTGCTTCATGCTGTCCTTACTCGGGGGCCCCAGTGGAGGGAAAATCCAGCTCCATGATCCACACGAGCTGAGATAGGGAAGGGAATGCATTGGTTTGTGCTCTCATTTCTGAAGCTTCATTCCCAAGTTCCACAGTGCCCTGGATATTTATGGACAGTCCCAGTGATTCCCTTTAAAATACATGAGCATCCTTTAAATAAAGTCCACATCCTTTAAAATAGAACCACAGGCTTCAACATGAAAAATCCCAGTCCCCTGCTTCACTCCAAAGGGCTACTCCCCAGCGGCAACCACATTAAATTATTTTAGTGGTTTCTTCTAGAATTTACTTCCAAGTTTCTGAATACCATGAGTATAATTCCTTTTCCTGATTTTTCCATTTTAGCTACCATCTTTTAATTCCTACTAGGGAAGATTCGACTTACCTCTCTTCCTCACACATAGTGTTTATAACCTCATGACCCTATAAACAGCACATACAGCTGAGCTATGTAGGTACTGTGGTTTCATGTTCTTTCTTGTGCGTTTTTTTTTACAGATTGAGTAAATGCCTCTTTTTTTTATTCCATTACCTTAGGTTTCTGTATAACTCTTATTAATTTTTCCCCAAGGTCTCCTGATGGAGCTATAAAACTCCCCTCAAAATGTCCACACACACCGAGTTCTTCTGTAGTTCCATTCTGTTCCTCTGCCCTCAGTCCTCTCGTTCCAGCTTGGACAAATCACCTTCTAGGTCTGTTGACATCTAGGGGTTCTATTCCTTGAAAGCTTCAGGTTACCAATCAAGAAGAGAAGGAAAGACAGGAGGACTTCTGAGGTCTTTAACTCCTGTTCTAGAATTTTGATACAGGGATGAAGCATCATGAGAAATCCAAATAAGTTCCAAGGATGGGCTCTGCACCATGCCCTTTGGCCAAGGCTGCCTGTTCACCCCAGCTTGCCACCCCCTGGGTTCTGGTCCTCCCAGTTCAGCTCAGGTTCAGAGCACTTACTTTGACTTCTCATCTGTGCTGCTTTCATGATCTTGGCCATCCTCTGATTGCCACTGTCTTGGAACCAAGAGAAAGAAAGAAGAGAGGAAAAGTTCAGCATTTTGGGGGCGGGGGGGGGGAGGAGGATTCCTAAATTCCTGAGCTCCAGCCCTAGAAACACCTCCATACCTCTTGCCACTCCTTGGTCCCATTAGAAGCAAAATTATTAGAATTTACTCAAACAGTGGAAAATCCAAGTCATAGAGGAAAACAGTGTGGAAGTTAAGATCTTGTTATGCTCTTACCTAGGAACTGATTGAATTTCTGAAAGCCCTCGAGGTGCTCCTGCTGGCAGCTGGGACTGAGGGTTCAAAGCAGAGAAACAGAGCATGTGGGGAAATGCTTTTACTTCATGATTTTCTTCTCACACCTGGCACTGAAATGAAATACGCAAGGGGGAGTGGGATGGGAATATAAATATTGCAATAATGATGGTAATGCTTTCCTACCTGGTGTGGGGATGTGATTCAGTTTGGACGTAGAAGGATGAAGCAGGGCGGGTGGTGAGATGCTGGTGAAACCCACAGTTGGTTCAGAAACCTGAGCAATTTCTGCCTGCTTAGTCTGCCATCAAGGAAATTATCTTTTTTTTCCCTCCTCATTTTCTGTTATGTGGAGCACAACTGGAGATTAGAATAGAAAGGATGTTCCTGGGGCTTTCTCTGAAAACAACAGCCCCACCCCAATGACAGGGAAAGGATTGATGCTACAAATTACCAACTTGTAAATGGAAATTAATACTGTAATTAGCAAGATAGGAAAATCCATCTTATTGTAAATAGTGATACTTATAGATTGTGATATTCCCCCTGGGATCGCAGGGTTATTTAAGAGGAATAAATCAAGAACCGCATTCAGACCCGTGAAAAATACCAGAAATATTCAGAGCAGACATACATCTACAACTGACAATATTTTCACCGGGTTGTAAAACAGTGGATAAAGTCAATTTAAAAAAAAAAAATACACATTTGTGATTTTTGACACTTCTTAGATGGAAAGTGTTCTCAGATTGGCTTTTGAATATCAACATTGTCACCTAGACAGGTTTCTAGCAAACAGACTGAAGTCATTGGATAAAAAGATTAGTTTCACAAAAAACGAGGAGATGAATACTGCATTTCAAATAAAAGCACGGGTCTCCAAGGATGCAATATAAACATTCGATAAACCTGCGGCTCTGATAAAAATCTATATAATGGCCTTACGTTTCTATAGCTATTTAAAACGTGGAACCTGCTTTCACATCCATTAACTCATTTGATTCCCGAGAGAGAGAGAGAGAGAGAGAGAGAGTAGTGTGGGAGGAGGTAAATGAGAGGGAATGTAAAACAAAATGATCCTCATTTTACAGATGAGGAAGTGGAGCCCAGAAAGATTGAAGCTCGCGCTGCCTCCCAGGCATTAACAGACTGTGTGCATTTCATGTTAGCTGCCCCTGCCTCGGAGTTAAAATGCAGCCATACCTCTCTAGGCAGCCAAAACAGGGATGGTATTCTAACCACAGGAGGGCTGTGACTTCAAGTTTATGAGTCCAAGAATGAATTGATGCCAGGCAGTTAGGAAAACTGCCCTAACGTCCCTCCCCACCAGGAATATGAGAATTTCCTCCTATTGGTCCCCATTATTACACCTATATTTGACAGACTGCTTAGGGCTCGGCTAGGTACAGTGCATCAAGCCTGCCTCGAAGCAGGGCTCTGCCTGTATGTATGTTTTCCCTTCTGGACCATGGGAGCCCACAGATCAGCAATCAGGTCTTTAATATGTGCCCATCCCAGGTCTGGTACTTCATAAACTTGTGTGGGGTTGAAATAAATCATGGGAACAGACACTTTGTAACGCCACCATTGGGTCATAACGTAGGCATGCAGACCGGAAGACACAGTTGCATCCACTTGGAGGGGTAGATGTGTCAGATGCTTCCCTTTTAAAACATGTGACCCAGTTCTTACCCTTTTACATAGTTTTGTCCCATTTCTTGGGATGAAGTCAATTATAGGTGACCCCCTCCTTTCATACAGATTGAAAATATGTCTGGAAGTCAAGTAACAAACTCATATGCTAAAGAAGGACAGTTTCCATGCTTCCATTTCCCAAAACTCTAAATCCCCAATCAGGAACACTAGCCTCGTGGCAGGTTTAGAGGAACCCTGCACATCTCCATTGGTGATGGTCCATATGATGTCATAGCCCCCACCCACCCACCTCCTGGCCCACACCTCAGACCCCCACCCCCAACCCGGCTCTCACAGAAGGGCAGGACAAAATTCAAGGTAGCTGGAATACGAGGGGTCAGTGCACAAGCTTCAGGAGCATCCATGGAGAAAACCTTTGCAAAAGAGAAAATGTGGCATGTGATAATTCTTATTTTGTGTAAAAAGGGTGAGGGGGATTAAAATAAATAAATAAATATATATATACACACACATATATATGAATACACAACAGACAGGAAGGAAATTGATCAAAAAATTTTAAATAGATTTTTCTAACTGGTTGGATTATGATTTGGGCTTTTTTCTTTTCTGTTTTTGTATTGTTTTACTATACTCACTTTTAAACATCTGTAAGTTCTTTTACATTTATTTTTTTTTTTATCTACTTGTAAGACATTAAAAACATTACCAGTAAGGCAAAAGTCCTCCTTGACCATCATCCTCAAATTCCCAGAGGTAATCAGGTCATTTGGGCATGCATCTTTCTAGATTTTTTTCAATGTATTTACATATATACATATATACATAAAAATACACAATATTGTTTCATTGCTAAATAGATGGCATCAGACAATATACGTTCTGCCCGTGTCCATTACATGTAAATCTACCTCAGTAAAGAAGGAAAAAACATAATATTCCATCAAATGGAGAGACTTGCAGCTTGTTTAGTCCAATGGTCCTGCACCGGAACAGGTGAGGAGCTTTAAAGAAACCAGTGCCCAGGCCCAGCCTTAGAAATTCTGATGAAATTGTTCTTGTTTTCCCTCCCCCACCTCCGGGTGATTTTCACGTTTTGCTCTTACACTAGCACCGCATTGTACAACCTTGCACATATGTGTGGGTGGTACTCTAGGAAGACCCCCCAAAAACGCGCTTATGCTACAATACCAATTTACAGTCCCACCAAAAGTATGTGAAAATACCCCATACTCTTCTCTAACTTAGATGTCACCTGATTTAAATATTTTTAAATTTGTGCTGCTTTGATGGACTCAAACGAATGGTGTTCTGTTTATTTTCACCTCGCTGATTATGTGTAAGATTTAGATCTTTTTGGGCGCCTGGGTGGCTCAGATGGTTAAGCGTCTGCCTTCGGCTCAGGTCGTGATCTCAGGGTCCTGGGATCGAGGTCCGCATCGGGCTCCCTGCTCGGTGCAGAGCCTGCTTCTCCCTCTCCCTCTGCCACTCCCTCTGCTTGTGCTCTTCTGTCTATCTCTCTGTCAAATAAATAAACAAAATCTTTAAAAAAAAAAAAAAGATTTAGATCTTTTTGTATGTACAGCAAGAGATAAAGAAAACAAGGTACCCAGATTTGTGTCCAGTTCGGCCACTTACGAGTTGTGTGACTTTGGGCCAGTTATTTCACCTCTCTGTGCCTCAGTTCCCTCATTTGTAAAATGAAGAGATTAACAGTGCCCGCTCATCGGCTTGTGGTAGGAATTAAACATTTTAATAGAGATAAGGTTTTAGACCAGTGTCTGGTATAGAGTAAGCATGCAGTCGATGCTAATTATTCTCTTTGGCCATTTGTACTTCTTTAGTATTACTGCTTCGTCAGAAACTAATTTTTACCTGTGGGCTCAATTCGGAGAAAGCTATTCAGGCAGGCCTCAAATAGCTCACGGTTGGAGACCGTACGTACTTTGTTCCTACTCTCAGTAGTGAAATGGAGATGGCAACTCTCACCTGTTTGAAGACAAAGGAGGTGGATCTTTCTTTTGGGGTCCTTATCAGGTCAGAGATGATGGAAGGCCATCACTTCAAATCAGGAGGCAGAGTCCTTTCATTGCTATCACGAGTCTGCGATGCTTCATTAAGAGCCTGGAATCTTAGACCTGGAAGGACTGACAGAAAGGCTCTAGAGAGCATCCTACAGACAGTATTTCATGGATGAGAACAGAGCCCCAGAAATGAAAGTAATCATATAAGCTCCCACAATCATTCAGGGACAGACTCAGACTAGGGTCTAATGTTCTTGGGCCTCAGGAAGCTTTGTGCTGGCCTCCTTATTGCTCCTGGGGCCTGGGTGATAGTACTTTTGGAGGGCAGGTTCTGATATTAATATGTTCATGAGAAATAAGCTGAAAAACTTTAATTTTACAAAATTAGAATTCGCTGTTGTAGATAAAATAAGAATACAATAATATTTTTAAACTGTAAAGCTGCCGGTTTCTTAGCCTTAGGACACGTTCCTAAGTAATGCATCACCTAGAAAATGTTTTCATGCCACAAGATAATTCTTTTAAGTAAAAGGCCCAACAGAGCCACCCATTCAATTCAACATATTTGTATAAAAACGTACTACAAATATGCAGAAATATTATGATTTAAATAACTGGCAAATTTTTGCAGTCCCAATGTGATTTTTAAAATCTCATTCTGACCCAAAGATGAGGGGGATTGAGAAGCTTTTTTTTTTTTTTTTTTGCTTTAACCCTTTAAAAAAATAATTCAAAAAAACATTTCCAAATGACTATGAAACCAATTGGTTTGACAAAATGTTGCTCTTTAACAAAGAATTATATATCTATCTGGTTTTCAGGGAAAGGAAAGATAAGAAACTAACAAGAAATTGGAGACATTATTTCATTTAATATGACTAATTATGTGAAATATTGATGAACTTTGACCTGGAATGTTTTTTTGGTAATACCTGAAGCAGGTAAAAAGATGTTTATCTATTATTTTCTCTCCTAAAGCCTTTAATTAATGTATGCAAAAGTCATCAAGGGATTCAGCAGGCTTAGGAGAAATGTTAACAAGAAGCTGACCAGTCTGGATGCTAATATAAAGCAATGAGGTCTCAGGGGCATCATCTCTGAGTATATGATCCCAAGTCCTAATCTACATTTACCAGGGCTGGGGGAAACTGTGCTGGCTTCAGTCCTTTGCATTTCATTTCTGGGACTTGCGATTTCACATCTTCGGTGAGTAATGATTTACAGCACCAGGTTAGCTCTGCTACTCCTCATTTGCAGGAGAAACCGAGGGAGAAAGGTCAACTGGCTTAGACGAAATACAGTAGAAATGCAGTGACCTGAAATTCAAATTTTCAGATGATTTCAAAATCATCCCTTAAGATAGATAAAGAGAGAGCACTTTATGGTTACTATCTTATTTATCTCTATCTTAGTTCTCTAGTGCTGTGTAACCAAATTACCCCCAAACTTAGCGGCTTAAAACAATAAACATTAGTTATCTCACATTGCCTATGGATCAGGAATTCAGGAGAAGCTTAGCTGGGTGGTTCTGAATTCGTGTCTCTCTTGGGGTTGCTGTCAGGATTGGTTGGAGCTGCTGTCACCCTAAGTGTGACTTGGGCTGCAAGATCTGCTTTCAAGGTGGCTTACTCATCTGGATGGCCAACTGGTGCTGGCAGGAGGCCTCAGCTCCGGGTTATGGAGCCCACTCCATAACACTGCTTGAATGTTTCACAGTGTGGCCCTGGCTTCCCCGGAGCAAGTGATACAAGAGAGAACGAGGCCAAGTCCCAGTGCCTTTTATGACCCAGCCTCAGAAGACATAGACCATAATCACCACAGCTGTAGTACGTTAGCACAGGGATACTGGTCTCTGAGGATTGGCTGCCCACCATAACTCCTTTGGGGACCTATGAGTACAGAGAAGAAGCACAAATACTCTGTTGTGAAGATGAAGAAACTTTTTCATCCCAGGGAACATAGGCTACATTCCCAAAGAGGCAAGAATGGGGACATGAGCCCAAGTCCCCTGAGGCGGCTTGACTGTCCACACCTCACAAAATGGAGGCCCACGGGGCTCAGGGCAGCACAAATTCACTCCCCTCTGTGGCGTCTCTTAACTTCATAAGAAGGTTTCAACAGAGAAGGTGGGTATGTGTAGGCTAGCATGCAAGCTTAGACATACTTCGGAGCCCCCAAATATTTGTGGGGAGCCCACATCTGGTTCCTACTCCCCCCTGGCCCCACTCCAACTCCTATAGGTAAGGTAGGTTTTCCCTTCTTCCTGCTCTATGAAGATATTCCCCTTTATTTCCAGTGTATTTTAAGCATTTTAAATATTTTGTTGACATTCCTATGTATTTAAGGAAGAGAAGGATTTTATGCATGCTTACTCCACCAGCCTGATGAGAAGAGCAGGATTTGACCTCTCTGATTCCTCGTTTTTCAAATAGAAACAAAAATTGTGTCTATAGGATTGTTGCAAGGTGAAGTGAGATGACTCACATAAGGTGCTTAGTTAGCACAGTGCCAGGCATATAGGTCATGCACATAAATATGTTAAGTATTTACCAAGCATTTGATTTATAAAACAAAGCATTATAATCAATATTACTGGTCACTTTACTCTCCTTGGGCCTCAGTTTCTTCATCTATAAAATGAATGAGCTGACAAGATCAGGGATGGGAAACAGGCTTCCATATAGCCACTCCGTCATGAGGAAACTGCTCGGGCATCTCGAGAATTCTGAGACTAACCCTCAGGCAACAGGAATGATGCCATGATTGGTTAGTGATATCTGCCGAGGTCTGGGAACAGCAGATGTATGGTGACACTCCTACATTTCTTTGCTATCCCTGGACTAGATAATCAGTTAGGTCTCTTCAACCTTAGGCGTATAAGATGCCATAACCCACCGTCGCCTTCTCACACACAGGAGAAATGTTCTGAAACCAATCTTTGGATTATCCAGAGTGTGCTATGACCAGCTCAGTCATAATCAGTGTGCCTTTACAAGGTTTTCTTCTCTTTTGTAAATAGGCAGCTGGTTACTTAATTGAATTCACCCAGTTGTTTTCAAAACAACCAGGAGTATGACCAAATTCAGCCTTCTCTTCAAACAAGTTTTGTATGTCTCTGTGAGTCGCTACATGACGATATATGTTATTTTAAACTCTCCTTATTTTTAATGATATAAACAATGAAAGCCCAAGTAAGAGAAAGGAGCTAACACATTTATTCCCATTCTGCCATCTGTTTAAAGCTGCTGATGTAATTCCAGCTTGAAATTGCATTAGCGCTTGCCTCCTGGACTTCTTCCTTATTTCCTTTTGTGTCTCAGGCCTTCTGTACTTAAGAGAAAGCACTGCCTCTAGGATGTTCGTCAATTAATGCGAAGCTACAGTCTAGCCCTGGCCATTTTCAAACTGGTCTCTGATTTGAATTTCCTTCACGATCAGCTAGAATGACTGTTACTGGAGTGTTATTTGCTTAAATGTATTTGGTATTTAAGGTTTGATTAGTGATGTTTTCAGCAATATCATCAACAATCAGCAGATTTGTTTACACTGCAGAGGATGGCAGAGATTAAGGGTTGTGGTCGTGCATACTCAATCATCACATATTGGCTTTTTTTTACTTCTATCTCTTGGATTATGCCTCAGAATTCAATTTCAGTTTTGTTTTTGTTTTTTTTTTAATGCAGCTCTTTATACTGCTTTGAATAATATTGCAGTAGTGGGTTTTGTTAAATTGTATGATGGGGTGTGTGTGTGTGTGTCTTTTAGGAGGCTAGATCCCATTTAAAATATTTTGGCTGGGTGACCAGAGTGTAGTTTATTTGCTTGGATATAGAGTGGGGGCATGGGTTGAGACCATATTCTTTTCACTTTCAAATATCCACCTAAGGGGTCTTGGCCTTGGGCGAGGTTGACAAGGGATGTGAGAGCATGAGTGGGATGGGGTCAGGAAAACAGGGAATTTGGGCAGCTTCCTTCACTTTTCTGGACTCCAGTTTCCCCACCTGGGATGATGCTAACTAATTCTAAAGTCTTTCTCCTCTAAACAATTTCTATTGATCTCTGAAACGGGCACCTTTCCCTTTTCCTGATATCGCTGTAGTAGGGGGCACTGGTTTGGGTGCATGAAATTGAATCTTATGTCAGAAAAACGTCATCATAATGATATAAGGTTGGGTTGGAAAGGACTTGTAGGACTCTCCTTAAAACTTTTCCAGACTCTCAGTCACAGCCCCAGAACCTAAAGGCATGGCCAACGAAGAGGAGTGTGTTCACTGAGTACCAAGAACACAGCTGGGCTTCAGCAAGCTGATCTAGAGTATCACCTGCTACTCAGAACCATGGCTCTGAACATGGCTCATCACTGTGGGTTACAATTTTTTTAAAAATATTGACATCTGAGTCCCGCATTCAACCTGCCAAATCAGAATTTTGGGGAGCAGGACACTAGATATTTGTATATTACAAAGCTTCCTGGCTGATTCTGAGCTGCAATCGAAGTGGGGAACCTCTGTCCCAGGGAAGCGTATCATTGAGTTGGAGTTGACAGATGAGAAAAATATCTGATTAGGGAATCCAGACATCAGGGTTTGAGCCATCACCCAGGTACGGAGGGAACACAGAAGAAGTGGGGAGGACTAACATGGCCAGGAAAAATCAGGGGAACTTTCCCAGAGGAGGTGACATTTGAGTTAGATCTTGAAGAATGGGAAGGAGAAGAAAGAATGGTAGAGGAAAGGAAGTCATTGAAATGTGTCACCAAGAGTGTGTGCCAAAAAAGGAGGCATGAAAGGCACACTTTTAGAGCGTCTACTCGTCTCTTCCAGAGACCCTTGCAAGACACTAGAGTCAGATCGACATGGCTTCTGCTCCCATGGGGAGGTTGACTGGAACACACAGAGAAGGGAGACATCAGGAGTTGGGTCTGTAAAGGTAATCTGCATCAGCTTATGAGAGGTCATGACTCCCAGGTAATAAATCTGGAATTGACTCTGTAGGCCATTGTTGACAAGTGTAAGGTCATAGCACACTGGTACGTTGTAATCAGTTGTGAGGGGCTGTGAGTAATGTATGAGCGATGGCCACTAAACCCGCAGTAGAGAGGAATGGTTGAGAAGGCAGACTTTGGAGCCAGGCTTTTGGGATGCAATCCCAGCTTGGCCACTTACCAACCACAGCCACCTACTGTCACCTTGGCAAATTACTAAATGCCCTTTGCCCTAGTTTCTTCAGTTGTATAATACCAAAATGATGGCACCTACCTCATTAGATTGTTAGGAGGGTTAAGTGTTAGTATTTGTAAAACACTTGGAAGAGTGCCTGGGAATATAATTATCTTTATTACTATTACTATTATTATTTTGGTTGTTTTTTAAAGATTTACTTATTTATTTATTTGAGAGTGAGAGAGAGCGAGCTGGGTGAGGGGCAGAGGGAGAGGGAGAGAGAGAATACACAAGCAGATACCCCTCTGAGCACGGAGCCCGACACAAGGTTTGATCCCAGGACTCTGAGATCATGACCAGAGCAGAAACCAAGAGTCAGTCACTCAACCCACCAAGCCACGCAGGCACCCCTATTTTGGTCATTTTTACATGAGTTTGAAAAGTCATACACACACATGTTTGAAGAGACTCGAGTTTATGGATAGCGCATACTTAAGTGCTTTATTTAATAGCAGACATCAGTGTAGGGCGTGAGCCATCATCCTGCCAGTTGCACTTAGCTCTGGTTATGCCCTGGGCAGTAAGCAGAGCCTGCAAATGTCCTACAACACGAACTACTGTCATAGGCTTGCCATGCCACCTGGGCAGGGTTGCCAAATAAAATACAGGACACTCAGTTAAATCTGAATTTCAGATAAACAATAAATAATTTCTTAGAATAAGTATGTCCCATGCAATATACTTATACTAGCAAAAAGTGTAAGTATGAGGGGAGGGCTCATGTGACTCTCTGGTCACACTTCAGGAGCCAGAGTCCCTTCCAGAGAGGTTGGATCTCCATGCCTCTCTGAAGAGTGATTCCCACAGATCAGGTTAGGATGCTCATCCCTGAGGAATCTTCAGGGAAGTTGTTATTAGGTCCTGAAGGTTTAGAAGGACTTTGATGGGTGGGAAAACAGCACGTGGGGTTACAGTCCAGAGCGTTGCACACTCTAAGTGAGGCACAGGGGCATTTGAAGGTTTCCCACGTTTGAAGGTCACTGAGAAGACAATGGCACCTAGGGCATTGGGTGTATGCGGGTGCGTGTGTTTATCTGTGTGTATCCGTGTGTGTGTCTCTGTGTGTATCTGTGCCTGTGTTTGTATCCATGTGTGTCTGTGTGTGTATCTGTGTTTGTATCTGTGTGTGTGTGTTTTTGTGGGGGGTGGTACTCAGGAAGACATATGGTCAGGGAAGTATTTGGGGGCCGGGAGTTCAGGAGTTTAAGAAATTAGATTGAATGAGTTACTACCTAGTTCCTGAATTAGTCATTTTGCTTCCTTTGTTAATGGATTTCATTATAGACATTCAAGTTTCCCTAAGCATTGCCATTTTTTCTTGTTATAATTAGTTTGTTTATTGTTTGTTTGTTTATATTACGTTCTTCTGTGTTCAGTTACAAAAAGGTTATAAGATGGATAGGAACAGCAAGTCAATGATTATTTAACAAGTAATAAGCTGACTGCAGTCAAATGAGCTTGTCATTGGAAGCCTTATTCTGCTATCTGAAGCGAACATGGCAGAGCTCGTTTATTTAATTAGAAGCTGTTTTTACTGGAATCCTTCCAAGAGGACAGTGGGTGTATTCTGTGGTGTTTCAGGGCTCCTTAGATTCCAGAGATCTCACAGATAGAAATTAAATAAAAGGGAACAGTTTAAAATCAAACCCTGTGAACGGTTACTTTCTCCAGTAGTGTCTATTGACTTCTTTCTTCCGTGTCAGCTGCTTGGGGATGGAGACCTTTCTCCTCAGAACTGGGCAGATATAAATTACATAAAAATGTACCAAGTTCTTTTGGTGTTTTTCCCAGATTTAGAAGACACACATCTTGCCATTTCTTGATTAATTACTACATGGAAGTTGCTGAGAGGCAAGCTTGGCTCAACATAACGAAGGACTCGCATATGATTGTGGGACACTGCCAGGCTGGGTGACGAAGATTTGGGTCCCAGTCTCAAGTGCAGCCATAATTCTTTGTGGGACCTTCAGCAAGTTGTTTCCCTTCTCTGGGCTTTAATCTCCAGGTGTGGAATGAGGAAGGGATCATTATGTTTCCTTTTAGCTGCCCCACTCTGAAATCATGGGACGCACTGGCAAGAGGGCTGTCCAAAGAGGAGTACTCAGGTAAGCCAAAGCAGCAAGGGAAGGCCGGCTGAGTGGGGAGACCCAGTGGAGCCTTAAAGGAAGGACAAGTACAAATGAAAGGAGAGAACCTTATAAATTTATTCTAAACAAATAATCATAGACACATACAAAGACTTGATGAAAGACATAATGCTAGGAGGATCTGGGATATTATTATTTTGAGAGTATTAAAGAGTTCATGAGTGCTTGGCGTAGACCTTCTTGTTTCTAGGAACAGCCGAGTAGGTTATTTAACAAATCCTCCCACTGAAAGCTACTAAAAATATAGATTAAAAAAATCTTAGAAGCACCAAAGAGATGACAAGAAAATAAGGAATTACTGGATTAAAAATAAAGGGGAAATGAAAACCTAGTGAGATAAGCAAGCAGAGAAACTGCTTTTGATCTAAACACACTTGCTGATCCCTCAAAATTAAAGCTTTGTTCTGGCAGTCTAAGAGGTGAGAGGGACAAAAATCAAAGCTCAGGCCACATACAGTAAGGCATCTCCTAGGAGACCCTTCCCACCACAAGCTGGGACCCAAAGGCTTCACTGCCAGGATGAGACTGAACAAGTGACATAGCTCCCATAGAATTACAGCCTGGCTCCAATCCTCTGGGTCCCTCGTTAGTCTCTTTCTACTCAAAATGTGATCCATGGGGTCACAACATCAGCAGTACCGGGGAGCTTATTAGAAATGCAAATTCTTGGGCCTCATCCAAGACCAACTGTATCAGAATCTATACTTTAACAAGATCCTTGGTAGAAGCCAACCCAAATCCTCTCAGAGGAAATGTACTTTCGTCATAGACCTCAAATTATTCCTGAAAATAGTTTTTCTAACACAGCATCCAGTAAATAGTCAAAGATAATACGTCACAAAAGAAAATTAGGCTGAATAAGAGAGAACCAGCAGAAACAACAGGTAATAGAAACAGAACTACAGAGACTTCACATGGTGGAATTATCAGATGCAGTCTACAAAACAATAATTTATATTCACAACAGCTACATGTAAAAGGGATCATAAAATTTTTTTAAAAAACTTGAAGATGTCTTCAGTGAATAGGAAACTATAAAAAGTTTGTAGCATATTTGAAAAAGAACTATAGCACTTCTAGACATAAGTGTTTGGCATGTTTCCTGGAGCTCATCCATTTGTGGATGACTGGCATAGGGTAGTATAGATGACCAGATATTGAAGGTGTGTGGGAAAGGCTAGACAACTGGTTATCAAGATCATTGAAAAGGGGAGGCCATTACTGTCTAAGGATTAGCCTGGTCATCCTCATTTCCTTCTAGTATAGATGCCATAGGATGTTTTCCTAAGGATGGGATACCCTCTAACTGGCTAGGGCCCATGGAATCCTAGCTTGATTTCTCCTCGTGTAGGCTTGAGAATCCTGTGGGAGGTTGCTAGATCATTCATTGGAGTAAATAACATCACAACTGCATAATATTTGCAGACAGTTAAGGATCATCCACAGAAACCCCAGATGAAACAGAAGGAGGCTCTCTGGGAGACACATGGATCAGGTGCCATGGATCCAGGAGAAGTTTGTGAACTATGATCCAGACACTATTTGCACATTTCTGCATGAGTCTGCACAAGACCACTCCACTTTCAAACATTCTCAGAACTTCATAATCTTCAGATTGTAAAGAGAAAACACTACGGTCCTTCTTTGGACGCTCCAGCCTTCTTGGTTCTGTTTATCCCTTCCCCTTGTTGTACTCCATCAAACTCTCCAAATGGGAGGTTTGTGTCCATATTTTCTGTCTGCTCTCACCCTTCAGAACCCCTGCACCCTAATTTCTGTGCATGTCATGAGCATATTCAAGTTCCACTTTTCCTTTGGTTCATCCTCCCCAAATTCTCTGATCATCTTCTTAGGGCTCTCTCTTTGGAAATCATAGTTATCATTCACCTAAACCATTTTTCGTTATACTACTTAATCCTCACACTACTTGTGCAGAATAAGCATTTTTGTTATTCCTATTTTATAACAATGTGCATTCATTATAGGAAAATTAGAAAAGACCTCTAAACAAAAGAAGCAAATTGAAATACTCTTGAATTTTACTACACAGAGATAACTTTACCACTGTTAATATTTAGTATATTTCCTCAAACTTTTTTATATGAAGTTTTTTTTGCAAAAAAATGAGATTTTGCATGCTGAGCTTATGGTTTTATAACCTTTTTTATTTACTAACAATATACAGTGAAACTTTTTTCCATTTTAGTAAATATATACCCTACAACATAATTTTTAATGTTTGCAAAGTATGGATGTATGATAACTTATTTAACAAACCTTTCATTGTTGGGCATTCCAATCTTTACTATTAAAATAGCATCTTGTAGCTACATCTTTGTGCATATTCTTAATTATTTCTCCAAGACAGATTCCTTAATCTAGAAATGGATTCATGCTTCTGATTTTGATAAATTTCCCTTCCAGAAAGTTTGTACTAATTTAGACTCCAAACAACAATGTGTGAAAATGAACATTTCCCTGAACCCTAGCATTTGGGGATTATTGTTTTTATCATCTGGTTAATGTCATAAGTAGCCTATTATTGCTGTTTTAATCTGATTATAAATAAGAATATTTTCTCTTATGTTTCTTTACTATTTGATTCTTTTGTGAATTAAACTGTTAGGATTCTGTATATTTTAACACACTGGCACATAGAAATAAATATTAGCAGCATCATTATCCTCCTTATAGGTAGCATCATTGTACACTGCAAATGGTTTCCCCAAATTTGTCATTTTCTTTTCATTTAATTCAACTGTACTTTGTTAATTTAGGCTACACAGAGGTTTAAAGTTTTGATGTGAAAAAACTCATGAACCTTGATCTTTACGGTTTCTGCCTCTAGTTGCATGCTTAGAAAGACCTTTCCCACTCTAAGATTATAGATTCACCTTAGAGTATTTTTGTATTTTCGTATTTTACATGTAAATCATTAATACATTTAGAATTTATTTTCATATAAGGATGCGATAGAGATCAGTGACTTCTCACAAAAGGCCAAATGGTTTTCCAACTCAACATTTTGAGTGTTTTTCAAAAGGAACAGAGCAAAGACATTTTTGAATTGAGACCTGTGAATGGCTGTATCTCTGAGTGGAAAGGAATTAATTACCACATGTCAGAAATCAGCATGGGGCCAGAGCTATTAAACATACTAATGGCTTGGATGGAAGAAGAGCTGCAAAGCAGGCTGTGAGCTTCTCCCTGTCCAGTGGTGATTTAAATGGGTTAGTTACAGCCCAGGATGACAGTGAGGAAAGCCAGACAGTCTCCCATTTTTTATCAGGGAAGGGAGCAGCTATGGTGTCCGCAGACAGGATTGGATCTGCTTGTAATCTGGTTGCCTGCAAGGCTCCCCTGCCTCCTTGGCCCTCATTTTGAAGACTGGAAAGGGAGTAGAAGGCCTGAGAAGGGCCAGGGCCTTCAAAAGCAGCCTCCCTCTGTGGCCAGGCCTGGAAAGATGACATCCAGGGTATGCTCACTTATGCCCCGGATTCCCTTCCAGCATGGCCGCGCTCTCTGGTTTTGCTCCACTGACTTCTGGCTTCTGCTTCTGCTCTCCTATATCCCCTATTCTGTAATTTTCTTCAAAGCACGTATTTCATATTAAAATCATTCTTCTCTAGACTTTTCTTTTTCTGTTTGGCAGTCGTATCATTGCATGCTTTTTCCACCTTTGAACTGTTTTTCATAATGTCATATTTTCTGAAATAGGACCTTGGTTTTTCTACAGGCAAGAAGCATAATGATACTACTTGACAATTACAAGTTGCTCCCACTTGTTCTAACACAAACATCTGAGTCATCCTAATAGGTAGGTAGGCAGGGTCATGTGGACAAAGTATAGATTTGAGAAGGGGGTTTGTCTGAGGGGCACAGTGAATCAGGAGCAGATCTGTTCTGGGGTCAGCTTCAGAACTGAGCCCAGCTTCAGAATTCTGCCTCTCATCCTCCCAGGCCCATTTTCTACCCAACTTGATGGCTCCTAGGAGTCCTGTGATTCAACAGAACTTACTGATTTCTCTGCCACAGCCCAGTGCTAGGGTGCCAAGATAACTGATTCATACCCAGTCTCTTAGCAGGTTCCCAACCAGAGTGGTGTTTAAGTATTTCCTGTGTACCAAATGAGAGATGGACAAGGAGGAGTGTTAACCATGGTCAGGCTGTTGGTCAGGGGAGGTTTCACAGAATATCGTATTTGGGCAGGGGGGTTGGAGCCTGTCAGACTGGATGAGCCCTGGAGTCTTTAAAGGATATCTGTTGTCCTGTTCTGCCTGTCACTCATTCCCACCCCCACCTTCCCTGCCCTCAGTGTGTGTGAGTTCATCCTCTGACCACAGATATAGGTTCAGGTCTGGGACCTACATTATTCTAATAATACTCAATCCTGCAGTTTTTGTTTATTCTATTGGGAAAAAAAGATGCTGGTCTTTCCACAGGGTAACTGAGAAGCTGATGGCCATCTTGCCTCTGTGAGGAGAGAAACTGCCTGAGGAGAACCCAGACAGGAAAGCAGAGCTGAGAGAGGGAGAGGGTGAGACTGTCTTCAGGACACTGTCTGGGTTCTGAATCCAGCCACCCATGAAAGCAAATACCTTGAGTTTTTCAGCCATGTGAGCCAAGAGATTCCTTTCCTCAGGTGGGTAAATCAGTTTGAGTTGGGTTTCTATCACTTGCAACCCAAAGATTCTTAACTAACCTAGAGTCCTGTCCAAATCCAAGGCTGTGAGTCTTTGGCAGACTGGGGGGCAGGAGTGGTGTCTACACGGCCTCAGTACCTATCTCTTCTACCTTGCAGGTCCTGCTGCTCAGCGTTCATGGAATGATTAGATCCAGATTGTCCTGCTTTCAAAGCTGCCAATTTTTATTCCTTGGTGATGTCAGATTCCAGACCAGCAGGACTTTCTGAGCAACTACTGGAGGATTTCTTTGCAAGTGAGTGCTCCTCCTGCAGGACTCCTACGTGAAGGTCACAGATGATGGCTAGGAAACCTCTGTTGTATGTCTTTATAGAACACTACCCCCTCCTTCTTATGGAAAATAACCCCTGCCTCACTCTAGCCATGTGGTTTGAAAGAAAGTTGCCAGAATCTTAGTGGCACAACCATGTGACCAAAGTGACTGGCCTGGAGTGGGCACCTGCCCAAGAATGGGATGAAGAAAGAAGTCTCAGATCTCCAACAGTGGAGATGTGTAGAGGCATCAGTGACCAGGTCCCTTAGACTGTGGCACAAACAGTCTGAGGAGGGAGGGAATAAAATGGCCTTACAGAGAGATCATGGCATGAAGGATGTGGAGATGGGTCAGGTGAGATCAGGTGACTCTCTACTCCCACATACGATTTGTCTTTGGGATCCTATTATATCCCCTACATACCTCTTGATTACATAAGGCTTCTAATGAATCCCCCTGCAAATAACCAAGCCAAGTTAGCTGCATTAGGGTGTCTGTCCTTTGCAACCCAAAGGGCCCTATACAGCTGCAGAACTCCCTCAGGCCAGGCCAGGCTCCATTTAGCTAACTAGCTACCCATTAGATCTGTGGTTCATAGCCCTGATTCATATTAGAATTACCTCAGGGACTTTTAAAACATAATGGTACTGTAGCCCAGTACCACAGACTCTCACTTAACAGATCTAGAGGACGGGCCCAAAACAGGTATTTTCTTAATCTCCCCAAGTGATTTTAACATTTATCTAGGCTTGTACATCACTGAAGAAATGATCAACTCACCCTACTTGCCTATGGAATGGGACATGAGGCAATAAAGGTTGTAAGGGAAAGACCATTTGGCAGTCTTGGCATCTGAAGGGCTTGGTCTAAGCCCTGTCTTGGTCACAAATCCTGTGACTGTAGGCATGTCTGTTGGCCAAGCCTCAGGAACCCCACTTATAAAATGGAATTAATAAACTACCGCTCTGTCCTCCTGACAGAGGTCTTTAGGGATCAGATGTGAAGGAACCTAGAACTCTAAGCATCCCAAACCTGCATCTCCCAGAACAGAAACTGCATGTCCACTTAACACACTCCTTACCACCATGGAGCCTTTGCAGGTTTCCTAGAGTCAGGATTGAGAAGCCTCTGGAGGGAGAGAGAGCAACTCCACCTCAGCAGAGGAAGATGGGTCTCAACCTGTGGCTTAAACGGAGTGTCTGTGTCCTCTCTTCATTCCCACCCCATGCCTACCTCACCCTACTCTACCCTACCCCCATCAAAGTTCCTGTAGGAACACCTCAAAGATTCCTTGTCAACAGCCAGGCACCCATCAAGGCTACTTAATGATCAAATCAGCCTTTCTAGGCCTTTCCCTAAAGGATTTTAATATCTGTCCTTGTTCTCCCCTGGATTTTTTTCCACCACTCTTTGGCTTAATAAATGCCTTTCCAGAAGGCTTCAACCCGGCTGGAAGTATACTTGAACAGCAATTCTAAGTCCTTATTAGCTCTATAGTGATCAGGTGAAGGAATAATTGATCTCAATCAGGAACACCTGGTTTCATAATTGCACAAATGATTATAATTCAATAATAAAAGTCAATTTAACAAACTTAATTCAGATTGCTTTAACCTCTCGCAGACAGTTAAGAAATGAAGAAGCAAACAGGGAGAAAAGGAAAAAGGGGGGAAAAGAAAGGAAAAAGAAAAGCAAAGGTCTGCCTCAATCACCTGACCAGATAGGGCCCAAACATAGCTGATGGATTTTACCCCCACCATAGCATGTATTGTTGCTTCCAGGCCTTTGTCCATTATGTTCTTTCTATGTTGACTCTCCTTCCCCCATCTCTATACTTCCAAACTGTATCCATTTTTTCCAGATCAAGCTCGAATACCACCTCCTTCCCCTCTGTAAGGTTGGGGGCTTGAGGGAGACGGTGACCAAGGGAAGGAAAGTAATGTCCCTTGAGGAGCTATTGCAAGTCAGCCAGACATTTACTTCTGGATTTCATTTAGTTCTCATAGAGAGGTGGGAAACTGAGGCTCAGAAAGCTTCACACTTGGCTCACAGTTGAATGGCTGGAGAGAAAGCAGAGACAGGATTTGAACTCAGGTCTTCCTGATTTCAGAGCCTGTGCCCTTTGCTCTGCACCATGCCAACCCCCCAGGGGACCCTGGACCTTCCTCCTTGGTCTCGACACTACTGCAGCCGACTTGGTTCAGAACCATGAAGAATTTGGCCGAGAGTTTGCCCGGCCGATAAGGCTTTCTCTGCCGGCTTCCACCTGGTAGAAGTAGCTGTCCCCTTCATCTCTCCCCAGGCAGATACCAGCTCCCAGGGGTCAGAGGTGGGCTTTGAAGCACTCGTTTGTGAATCACTTCAACCTTGTGAATACCAGAGGCTGAGTTTCAAGGAGTTTTGGCTTGGGATCAAGGAGAATGTGTCAGGCTGAGGCCCAGAGATGGAGGAATGCCCAAAGGCTAGTCTGCTTCTGTCTGCTCTCCGAGAGGACTAGGGAGAGAGCGTGTGGTGCTTTGCTGACCTATGCCGGTGGGAAGGGGGAGAGGAAGCATGTGAGAAGCCTCAGGACCCACCTCTCTATTCAGTAAGCATTCATGGCATGCCTACCAGACCCACACTGGGCACAGGGATTCTGAGCTTACTACTGCTATTACTGTTGTTATTATTAATGAAAATAATACCACCCACTGTTTATTCAATATCAATCAGATACCTTGCTAAGGATATAGATGCATTATCCCATTTTTCTTCATAGCCCTATAATGTAGGTATTAGTATATCCCCCTTTTACAGAGGGGTAAATTGAGATCAAGAGGATTTAAGTAATGTTTCCAGGGTCGCAGAACTCATTAGGGGTAGACAGGGCTTAGATTTAAACCCAGGTGTCTGGCTTTAAAGCCTAGGTCTCATGGTCCTGCTACAAGCCCTGGGGAATGTGAGAATGCACGTGAATAACAACAGTCCAGTAGGAAAGTGCCAGTGGGAAAAGGTGGCAGCCAGAGCTGCCTCAGGCGGGGGGGACACTGTGCGGCTGACTATGGCAGCAGAGGGCCTTCTTCATCCCTGGGCAGCTGGCCCGTCTCTGTCTGGGCTGGCCCCTCTAAAGGCTGAGTTCTCAGAGACACCCTGTGTAGACTCTTTGATCCACTCCTCCTTGGGCTTCCTCTCCAGTTTCTGGACAAAATTTCCATTTTAGAAATGGATAGTGTTGCTTTAGGGAACCTGTCACCGTTAGCTATGAAATCTCCCCCTGTCCCCGACCCTTGACTGGCAAGCTTTAAAGAAGTAATTTATATTGATTGTAGGAAAATGAGAAAATGCTGATAAGCAAGAACTCTTTAAAATTTCCTAGAAATTCTATCATCCAGAGACAACTGCTGCCAGAATTTTGCTGTTTGTTCATCCAGACGTCATCCAATGGTCACATAAAGGATGTGTGTCAACATACTTTTCTTTTACAAATGTATAATCATACTGAAATTCTGTTTTGTCACATGCCTTTTTCACGGAGGGATGTGTAGTGACTGCCGTCCCATGGGATCCTACTTGAAACAAATAGTTTCTAAACTTTTGCAAGCTTTGGAATCTGGAGCATGGCAGCTCATAGGTAACAATGTACAGGAGAGGCAAGGATTGAGACAGACAAGCCGTAGTAGTTTGGGCCCTGTTCTCCCTCCCATAGCTGGGTGGCCCCTTGGAATGTCACTGTTCTTATCCATCACGTGGGGATAGTACCCTTCCCTCCGCTGGCCTCCCAGGGTTGGGGCGAGCTATCTATGCAGTGACCGCCATGAAGTGCTGGTGTAGACTCTTCTTGTATTATCCGAATATGAGGTCTGACTCAGCCAAGAATCCCTTTTCTTTTGCACTTGTGAGTTCCGAAGTGAGAGCCCAAGGATCCCAAGTTTTCAGGCACATCCCTATGGTACCCATCAGCCCATCATCCCTGTTGGTGATGAGGTTCTAACACTTCATTCCTCAGGGAGGAATTACACCCTGCTGGTTGACTTACCTGGGTGGTTTACTGCCCTATTTTCTAGGCTTTTGGCTACTACTGGGCTCATGTTCTAGATAGGTGGGGCATCCTTCCCAGGTTCCTCTTCATAGTGGGTCTAGCCGCAGCACCCTGAAAAGGCTCCCCGAGCTTCCTGCTGCCTTTCACAGTCTCCCTGAGGCCTACCCACTTCCTCTTCTCTCTTCTCCGGGGCCTCTTTGAGTTAGGATGCTGTCTTTACTTTGCAGCCAACACTTAGTACTTCCTCACTTTTCTGCCCCACCTTCCAGGACCAGGTCGACACTTTACACTGACAGAAGAAGTTCTGTGGTTTTCCAGGGATTCTGATGAGGACTTTCCAGGTGGGCCGCCCCTGGGCTCCATAGCAACCCCAGGTTCGACTTGCCTCTTGCTACAGCTGAGTTTTGTCTAGGCCAAGGTGGCCGCTGGACATGCCCCCTGTGGCAGTAAGATCCCGAGTGGTACCTACCCCTCCCCCTTTCCCAGGAGCCCACCACAGCTGAGGAAACTGAGACCTGAATTCCCAACCCTTCCCTCTCCCCTCCATCCGATTCACCTGCAATCCCCTCGTCCTGAAGTTTTCTTCTGTGTTCCTATCCCCCACTTGCCCATTCTTCAGACTTATGCTTCCTCGTTCTCCAGAACTCAGCTCAGACCTCAGGGCCTTCCTCACACCACAAGGCTAGTTTAGGTGCTTTTAGCCTCAAAGCACCTAGTACTTCTAATAACCACAATAAATTCCAATTTTCTGCTAATCTGTCTCCAGGGTGTGCGTTCCTGAAGGAAGGGATTTTGTCTTCTGTTCCATTATTCCCCCAGAGTCATAATAGGGGTTCAATAGATTTTCATGAATAACTGAACAAACTTAGTATATCTTAGTCCCGCTGGGACCACTTCAACCACCATTTATGCTTCTGGAGAAACTTCTTGGTAACTCAGAAATCCATCCTTCCTTTCTCCTGGAGCTGAGCTGTGGAAAGATTCGACAAAATCAAGGTTGGCAGTCTACCTTTCTGGTGGGCCTCCCTCGTAACCCAGGTGGGGCCATTAGAATCCTGCCTTTGGCAGGCTCTGCTTTCTCTTGGGAGAGAAAGCCAGACCTGGGACTGACAAGGCCTTTGAGCTTCTGCACCTTCCTGCCCTGTGGACTTCCTGGCCTATCTTCCCCAAAAGCTGCCTGGCACTGGTTCATTTCCCAAATGAAGGTGAATTTTGCTAATGTCCTGAGAACACTGTGATATCCCTAAAAGAAATGGGAGATGTCATGCCCAGGTTCTACTTGAGTATCATCAAAGCTGAATTAGAAATAATCAAGCTTACCTCATTCATGCATGCATTTCCTGATTCGGGGAGCATTTACTGAGTTCCTATTATGTCCCAGGTACTGGGCTCAGTGCCAAAAATCTACATTCCACTGGAGGCAAACTCTCTTCTTTAACAGTCCCCACTGGCTGAAACAACTGCATCTAAAGCTACTCCTTCTGTTGACCGATTTATGTAATGACCATTTGCCTAAAATTCAGCCCAGTTAGGTGTTTTTTAATTTGTTCAGATATCCTGAACAAATTATTCAGATTATCCTTTTTGCTATCTTTTTTTTTTTTACATTGTAAGATTTGTTTTTGTAATGAATTACTCTTAGGATTCTTCCTGTATCAATCAAGATGTAAAATATTTTTTAGAAAAATTAAGTATATAAGCCAAACTGAGGTTTGAAGACAGGGGTTTGTGGAACTGGTGGGCTCTTGATTCTTTTTGCCATTCATTTTCCCGATTCTGTTGGCATGGGGACATGTATTTTTGGTCGCCAGGGAGGGAGTATAGTTTGGGAGGGAGTATGGAAAGAAGAGAAACCCCAGGATAGGACCTAAGGGATGGATCCCAGGGGCAGGGTGCAGGCTAGATGATGAAGGATCGCGTGCACAAAAGACTGAAAGGCTCTGCACACGTGGAGCCTGGCCCAGAGCTGGGAGGAGGCCACTAGCCTCCTGTCTCCGAACCAGAGGCAGAGTATGGCTTTAGGGCCGCTGTAGTGCCCTGAGCAGCAAGGCTGCGTGAGCGAGGATTTGAGTTGAAGAGCACCAAATACACATGCTGTGGGGCCCCCATGAGGTGGCCCCGGGGACCAGCTGGGGGAGGGGGCTGCTGACGTCCCCTGGTCATCCCGGTCAGGGCCCGTGGTGGCAAGACTTCAGCATTAATGTCATTGAACTTCATTTGCATCCCCCGCTTGCAGAGGCCTGGGAATGTGTGGGTTCTAGGACACCCTCAGGAACAGAAAACAGCCTCACGCTTCAAAGAATGGTGCCACTGAGTGAAGATCATCGGAAATACAAAATAAGTTGAAAGTGCCCCATTTTAAAAGTAAGGAAAAGGTCATCTTTATAAATTAAAAAAAAAAAAAAAGCAGGGGATGGATTCATTATCGGGCCAATTGACCACGGAGCCGCCGCTCCCCCTCAACCACGCATGGCAGCCCCTCTGTTGAGAATCCCGAAACAGGCAGAGCAGGGGACCCAGGAAACAGTCCTGGCACTCCCATCTAGTCTCCCCATTGCCAAGGAATCCGTAGCGATGCTGGGGGCTGGGAGAGCTGCGGCTGGGGCAGGGCAGCCTCCCGGTGAGGGCAGAGAACAAACACAGGTCTCCAGGCTGCATGGGGGTGGCAGGGGTGGGAGGAATGCGGTGCACAGGGCTCTGCTCCACTTGCAACCCTGGACCGCAGCCAAGCCTCCGTGTGCACTAGGACCCAAGACAGAGCCCTCGCATGCAAGCTGCAAGAGAATTCCTGTGCTTCTAGGAACCTCAGCCTGGGGTTTGGTCGTCAAAACCTCTAGCTACAAAGACCCTTAGGGATTATCTGGTCCAACCCCCTCATTTCCCAGAGCACATTGCTGGGGCCCCCGAGAGGGGAAGGAATTTGTTCTCTGTCACCAGGAATGTCAGTGACGCAGGATCCTCCTGCTGGGTTCAGCCTAGGACGATGAACTCTGACAAGGGACCCTGGATTTCTAATGGGTTCACCATGAAAATCAAAACAATCACAGCAGTCAGTATTTTCCAGTCACTGGAAAAGTCTAACTTTGTTAAATCCGCAAAGCAAAAACATTTGCTAATCAAAGCATTTTACCCAAGTGATATTCAATTAAAGCAATATTAAGGGAAAGAAAATGTGCACATGCTACAGACCACCTACGCAGGATTTATATCACATTCTCTTAGATGAGTGGTAAACTGATGGCAGTTCTCACTGGCTCTGATTTGGACAGCAGGGAATTAGCAGGAGCCTTTAGGAGGATTTGACAGGCAGCTGGAAAGGCTCAGAACCAGGAGCCAGGAGACCACCTCTTCCCTTTTCTCTGCCTCTCAGGGGCACACTGACCTTGGGCAAGGCCTCCAGCCTCTCTGAACCTCAGTATCTTCATCCCTGAAATGGGGATGATGCTCCCTGCCCAGCCTAACCACCCGCCCCTGGGTTTGTTACAAGAATAATATGAGATGGCCCTTAGAACATGTAAAGCAAATGCTAGTGTTGGTTAGCCGCTTTCACTCTGAGCTGATGGCTGACTGCAGAAAGGAGAGAGGCTGAGCAGAGCAGGTGAGAGAAGGCAGGTAAGGGACCTGGAGACCAAGTTACTTGTCACGACAGTTGCAATCATTCGAACTGCTGAGCCTGGAAGCTGTGAGATCTTGCAAAAGGTAAAAGGCATGTGAAGCCAGATGGACCTGTGGGCTCTGGCTCTTCTTGGCCATGTGGTCTTGGACAACTTATGTGAGTTCTCTGAGCATGTGAATGAAAATAAAAATACCCACCTTGCAGAGCTATCACGAATGCTCATGAGAGCTGGCATCTCCTGAGCGCTTATTATAATACTTCAGATATTGTTCTAGGTGCTGAGCCTATATTAACTCATGTGAGCCTCACAACCACCCTCTGAGTCAGATGCTATTACTATCTCCATTTTACCAATGAGAAAATGCAGGCAAAGAGAGGTTGAATGACTTGCTCAGGGTCACACAGCTACTAAGTAATAGAGTCGGGCTTTGAACTTGGGCATGCCAGCTTCAAAATCGATATACTTAACGTCTGTGTAGAGTGTATTAGGTTCTGATGGCTGCTATAACATATTACCACAAACTTACTAGCTTCACACGACACAGATTTATTATCTGACGATTCTAGAGGTCAGAAATCCTAAAATCAAGGTCTTGGCAGGGCTGTTTTCCTTCTGGGGGCTCTAAGGGAGAATCCTTTCCTTGCTTTTTCCAGTTTCTAGAGGCCAGCTGCATTCTTTAGTTCATGGTTCCCTTCCTCATCTTATTCTGACCTCTGCTTCCATTGTCACATTTTTTTCCCTCTCTATTCTGACTTTCCTGCCTCCCTCTTATAAGCGCCCCTGTGGTTACCTTGGGCGCTCCCAGATAACCCAGGATGACTTTTCCATCACAAGATCCTTAACTTAACCCCATCTGCAAAGCCCCTTTTGCCATGTAAAGTAATATAGCCACAGGTTTTGGATATTAGGATGTGGACATTTTGGGGGACCATTATTCAGCCTACCATACTAACTGTGACCTCCCCCAAGAAGGCTACTTTACCTCTCTGAGATTCTGGTCCCTCATCTGTGGAATGGTAGGTGATATTCACCACCCCACAGGGATGTAGTGAGTAGCAAAAGAGAGAAGGTATCTAAAGCACCTGATCGTAGCAGATGTTCAATAAGTATCTACCATCAGAAACTGAGCAGACGTTGCCTGAATGTGGTTGGAAACCAAGATGTTCCTGAGTGGTCTCCACCACTTCCTCAGGGCTGCTGGAAGTAGATCTTTCCACATGGCCCTGCTTCCTCCTCCCAGTTCTCATCAGTGCCGGCCAGGACTGGAGCAGGATGTGGCCATCCTCCCTCTGACTTCCAAGTTTCAGGCATCTTCCCAAGAATTTGAGCTGCTATTTGTCATAGGCAAGTGGTTCCATGTTGGCCAGAATCCACTGGCACCACTCTGCCCCCCAGCCCTGGGCTTGGGGCAACTTGCCTGCTGACTTGGGGCAGAGGTAGAGGAAGAATAAACATGGTCTTTAAAAAATGTATTTCAACTCTTATTTTGAAAATACTAAGGGAATCTGCTACTTCAGAGATACCTACCATGTGGTTGTTATTTTATAATATGGTACTCCCTTGGAACAGAAAAAGAGGGAGAGCCAAGTCACATCTGTGATACAGAGGAAAGAGCAAAATTCAAATGCCAATTCTGCCTTTTACAGACTAACGTGGACACAACCCACACAGTCATATGCCTCAACTGAAGTTGACCCTTTCCTGTTCCCAAGCCATGCCCGAGTTGTCTGAGCATAACTTCCTTTTCCATCCAAGTAAGTGGTTCAGAAATGACTTGTGAGATGCAAGACATCACTGGGGGGCAAGGGCTAGGGGGCTTACTCCTGATGAAATTTTCCAACCATCCAGAGAGGCCCAGCACATGATGGTCTCTCTTTTCTCCTGCCACAGTGATGTCTGGATGACAGGTCTGGCACTCTGTGGCTGTCTTGTCACCAGCCTGAGGACAAAGCCAGCCCGGGGATGGCAGAGAGGTGGAAAGAGTACACTTCCTTAATGATGGACTTGAGCTGCTAAGTCAACCAAACTTGAAGCCTGCTTTACCCTAGACTTCTGATTATATTAGGGAATAAATCCCCCTTTAATTGTTTAAGCCAGTTTTCCAGTATTTGCTACCCAAAACTTCTGAAGTGATCTATTATCTGTGTGATCTTGGGTAAACCACCTAACCTCTCTGAGCTTTATACTAGTCCACCCCTGCATACTCTTGATGAGGATCAAGTGAGAAAGTACATGTGAAAGTACTTTTCAAACAAACTACATAGTGTGGACAATTTTGTCCATTATTATTATTATTATTATTATTATTATTATTATTATTATTATTTTAAGCTTTGGTAAATGTGCATCGGTCAAATTGGGTCTGTTTAATAAAACTCTTTATATCATTGATTTATTCAAATCTGGGCTCTACTTTGACCAAGTAGGTTCGGTTTCATTTTCTGGAGCCGTGGTAGCATTGGAACAGGGCCCAAGTACTCCTTTCTGCCTCTGTCCTGTTGAACTTCAAATGGACCCCCAACGAGACAGAAGTGGTGCAAAGTTCGTGTCGTGAGAAAAGTGCCCAGGGAAGGAGAAACAGTTCTCCCAGTCTCCATTAGGAGATAAGAGTGCAGGAACCCCAGAGAAGTCTCAGTGGTCCAAAGCCCACAGACTCCCAGGTACCTGAGGCTTACTCTGCTGCCTCCTCTCATCTGTGCCTCCCAGTGGATACATTTCTCAGGGGGGAAATTGTAGTTCTGGGGTTTCTAAATAGTGCTGGGCCACCTGTTCCCTCTAGTGTCTGGCCCAGGTCCTTCAGCATAAGGAAACTCTGAGTGATGAACCTTTGCCCTTATCCTGCCCGCTGTGTCTGTGAACGAGTATGGATGGGAACAGCATCTCCGTTCATCTGTAATTGGAATCCCTCAAAACGATGTACAAGCAAGACAGAAAGGGCTCTGAGCCCCAAGGGGTGTGGGCACAGGGATGCTGGAGGGACACAGCCTGCTTGGGGATGGCCCCAGCAGGATGGCTTGCAGCTGGTCCTTGAAAGATGGAGAGATTGGGACACAGAGAGAGCGAGGGGTGGATGAGTTTGCAGGTAAGGGCAAGGAGGTGGGAACTCCTCCAGTGGATCAGGCCACTGATTAACCAGCGCTGGCCTGGGGACCAGCACCAATCTACGACTGCTTTCCTCCGGTCCACGGTGAAGGTGAGAAAGAGAAGGACAAAGAGCAAGGTTGGAATAAGGCTAATTCACTCAACCTGCAGTTTTGTTTTTATTCTGATGTGATGTCCTTCTTCCATTTCAGGCACTAATGGGCCATTACTTCTATAAAACGATGGTCAGCGTCCATGGTAGCTGGAGGAGTCCTCAGTGTTGGTCAGAACTACTCTGACCCCCTCACCTTCCAGGCACACGGGAGGATTCATCTTCCTGGCCCCCATCTCACTGAGGTCTCGACAAGTGACTTGTTTTTACCAATGAAATGTGAGTGAAAAGAACTTGTTACTTCCGGGCAGAATCTCTGAGAGTTGGGTAATCCCACTTCCCCGCCTATGGAAACAAGAGTCGAGGGCAGCCTCTGTCTGCCTGCCCCCCCCCCCCCACCACCACACGCCCGGCACCAGGACCCTGCCAACGTCTGGGGGGCCCAGAGTGTCGGGAGGTAATATCACTTGGGAGGCCTCAAGCTGCGAGGCTTGGGAAGATACTTGCTCCAGCAGGCCCGGGGATGTCGTGACGAACAAGGCAGAGGCAGACTTCCCGCCTTTTCTTTTTTTCTTCCTTTTGACATTTAACTGCCCCCAGGAAATACAACCCCTTGGACATTCTGACGCTCTGATAGCTGGAGCGTGGGCGGTATCCTGTGCGACAAGGACGACGGTTCTCAGGTCAGGGGCCACAATACGGGCCCCCCTGTGCCGACCCAACTGGAGGCACACCTGTTTTTTAATCTGTGCGATGAGGAAATGAATGCGTGGCCTGCACTTCTGCACAGGATTTCAGCGGGAGGAAACGGTTTCGTGGCTGAAAAAGAGAAAGTTGAACGTTACCTGGCAGAGACTCCGCTAGGCCCAGGGATGTCGTGACGAACAAGGCAGAGGCTGACTTCTCGCGTATTTACATATTGTCTATGGTTTTCTGTTTCGTAGGGCATGGGAAAGACCAGGGGCCTGTCACAAGAAAAGTGAACAAACAGGTAAATAAAATAATTAAAACATGGACAAGCAGTCCACCGGGATTCCACGGGGGCTGAGGTAGAGCATTACAAGGGGAGGCCTACTTGAGGTAGGGTGGCTGACAAGACCTTTTCTCAGGAGGTCACATTGAAGTGACAAGCTGCAGGATGCCATGCAGCCGATGGGAAAGGAGTGGGGAGACGGCGTCCCAGGGAGCCCCGCCGGGGAGGACCATCAGGAGGAAAAGCGTGTGGCCTGCTCTAGAGGTGGAGGCCTGCACTGCCCGAGCACAGGCGAGAAGCGGGCGGGAGCACGCAGGGCCCGTGGGCCCCGAGGAGGTGAGTGGAAGAGAGCTGGTGGAAAGTGGCTGGGGCTGCCTGTTCCACGTTGTCCTTAATAAACGCTCAACATAACGCATTCAAAGCAGAAATCCTGATGGCCAGTCACTCCCTACCCCCAGCGTGGTCTCCCTCGACCTTTCCCATCTCGTAACTTCCACTCTGCGGGCTGCTCAGCCCCCAAATTGTGGCGTCTCTCTTACCCTGCATTGAATCCATCAGGGAAGACTACCGGCTCGCCTTCGAACTGCACCCTAAATATGACTACCCTGACCTCCTCATGCTCCCCACCCCCCCATTTCCCCCACCGCCATGGACCTGATCCAAGACACCAGTATCTCCGACCTGGGCTTATAGAAGCCTCTTCACTGGCCTCTCCGCTTCCACCCTTGACCTGAAATCCTGTCCCCTTTCCTGTGACACAGCAGTCAAAGAGATCCTTCAAAACTCAAACCCATTTTCTGCCCCCATCTTACAATGGCTTCACACCTCTCAGAATAAAACCGACATCCGTCATTGCGATCTGGCCCTTCACCATCCCTCGGATCCTACACCCATTTCTCACTCGGCTTCAACCCCACAGCCGTCCTGATGTTTGGAGTGTGCCCAACACGCATCCGTGGCGTGACCTTTGCACTCGTGTTTCCACTCTGAGCCCTTGCCTCAGTTGGTTACCCGTTTCTGTGGCTTGCTCCCTACCTTCATTCAGGTCTTTCCTCAATGGCCTCATTACCAGAGTGTGCATCTGAGGACACTCCTTTCTAACATTCCTATCTTCACACCTGTTCATTTTCCTTCATGATATGAATTGTCACCTGACATATTATATACTTATTTTTCTAGGCCATAGGTTGGCAAACTTTTCTATAAAGGCCAGATGGTAAATATTTTAGGCTTTGCAGGCCATACGGTCTCCATCACAACTGCTCAGCTCCGCCGTTGTAGTGCAAAAGCAGCCATAGACAGTACATAAATAAATGAGCATGGCTGTGTTCCAATAAAACTTTATTTACGGAAAACCAGCGGCAAGCTGGAACTGACCTACGGGCCATAGTCTGCTGACCTCTGGCTTCGGCATTTGTTGTCTACTTCCCTACCAAAACGCAAAGCTCCAGGGGAGTGAGGATTTTGTCCTTTTGTGCGGTACTGAGGCACCTATCAAAGTGCGTGGCATGTGGTAGACAGTCCATAAATATTTATTGAATTAATCGATTCATTGATTGATTAATGAGCTCTTGGGAAACTGATTTTAGAAGGCTGGCTAAGGAATTTGGACTTCCTTCTTTAAAAAAAAGTTCGAAAAGTGTCATTGCCAGTTTTAACAATATTCATGCCTGTTGATTGACAGGTCTTATCTGCAGTCTGCAATTCTCAGAATGGAGACATTTTGAGACAAATGACAGCCACTTGCTCGTCTCACTGCTTACTCCTCTGGTAAGAGCCCTGTTTGATGCACATCGCACACTGAGTTGGATGTGTGATGCCTCACGCTGCTGTCAACAGAAACACACCGAAATAAAATAATCATCTCTGCAAGCAAAGGCCTAGGATGACACTCTAGACGCCCTTCTGGAAATAAAGGGGCCTGCTGCAGCTCTGCAGGGAGCAAAAGCTGGGATCCACCACGAGGCTGGGTGTGGAAAAGCAGAGAGGCCAGCAGAGGCTGAAAGTGTTGTGAGGCGGGGAGATTGGGTTGGGTGGGGTCAAAGGGAATGGGTACAGCCTGATCAAAGAATGACTCATTTTCTGAGATGTGACAGGCCAAGGCATGGGGTTGGCCAAGAGCAGGATGTGCTCCTGGATTCTGAAAACCCCAGTTAGAGCGGGTTGTTTCTTTCTGGAGAGGTGGGTGGATTCATATGAGGGTCTGGACTGTGGACAGCCCTGAGAGCCAGTCTGGAGAACTGGTACCATTTGGCAATGGGAAACCACTGAGGTTTTTGAGCAGTCGGTTGTTATGGTGATGGAATTTCCTCTGCCATAAGGTTGAGAAATGGAATGAATGAGCAAGCAGATGTGAATAAATGAGGGAGGGGCAAATCTCAGGTGAAGGAGTCCGAACCGAATCCTGAGGGCACTGGGGAATCACTGAAATGTTTTAGGTAGAGAGTGACATGATCATCCCTTTTTTCAGATGAAATGGGTAAGGGGATTGGAAGGAGTGGGAGAGTCTTTGGGATAAGGAGACCAGTTGGATCACTGCTTCTTTTTTTTCCCTTTTTCTTTTAGAGAGAGAAGGTGTGGCTTTGGCGGGGGAGGGGACAGAGGAAGAGGGAGAGAGAGAATTTTTTTTTAAGATTTTATTTATTTATTTGAGAGAGGGAGAGCATAAGCGGGGAAGAGGGGCAGAGGGAAAGGGAGAAGCAGACTCCCCCTGAGCAGGGAGCCCGATGCAGGGCTCCATCCTAGAACCCCGAGATCATGACCTGAGCCGAAGGCAGATGCTTAACTGACTGAGCCAGCCAGGCACCCCTGGACCACTGCTTCTAGAATGTCCTTCTCTTGCAAGTCCTCACATTGCCCTGATGCAGTTACCTCCTGTGTCCACCTACCTCCGCACCAAGTTGGCACATAATGTTGATTTGCTAAATCTGGCAATCCACTCAAGTGCCACTTCCTCCCTCCACGAAGCCTTCCGCCTCTCCCCACCTGGAAAGGACCTTTCCTCTTGGGGCTTTCATGCTTCCTCAGATGTTCCTCTCTAATTGCAGTGATTGTTTTTCATCTTAGAATCAGCTTGTCTGGATTCAAATAGCAGCTCTACCACTTGCTCTGTGGCCTCAGGCAAGTTCTCTTCCTTCCTTCCTGGGCCTCGATTTCCTCATTGATAAAAATGGGGATAATAATAATAATATCTTTCTCCTAAGGTCACTGTAAGGATTTAATGAGTTAATATTTGTGATAGGCTAAGAACAGTGCCTGAAGTATAATGAGCTTTGGATAAGCAATGGCTATTATTATTATTATTGCTATTAAAGTTATTTGTGTCCATGTCTTATCACCCATAATAGATTTGAGCCTTTGAGGGTAAAGACTGTGTCTTATTCATTTTTGGGTCTTCCTCAGTGAGTAGCAAAATGCATCCACATAGTATGTGCTCAATAACTATTTATAGAATGAATCAATAATGATCAAATGAGTGAGTGAATATAACCTGTAGAATGTAATTTAACTATTTGTGATGCTGGAAAAAAGTATTATTTTATATTCAAAGATACTTTGATCTTTAAAGGGAAAAACAAACGATGTGGGTAATGACAAGAAGCTAAGAATCTGAGTACGGAAGGAGCACAGGGCAAACCCTGCCATATGTGTTCTCCAAACCCCACTCTGTGCCTTGATTTTCCCATCCACAAAATGAAGAGAATTGATTACATGATCTTGAAGGTCCTACCTAGCCCTCCAGTTCTATTATTGGGATCATTAGATTCTCAAGAGTTTTGCTTTTTAGTGACTACACCATTAGGAATTTCCTAGAAAAATGAGTGGAAGAATTTTTTTTTAACTGAAAAAATGCTTCCAAAAGACACTGAGCGCTAGGGCATAGAGAAAGATCTTACCAGGGCTGTGTGAGAGGTGGGTCCTCTGTTCCCTCACTTTAATTAGGACTAACATATCAAGGAAAGAAATTCTGCCAGAAGTATGTACAACAGTCACATTTACCCTGAAGACAGAGGAAGCTTGAAAACATGAATCAAACCTGCTCAGAATTCTCCTGAGAAAAAGAACAATGAGAAGCACCAACAAAATGAATCTAAGTTCAATGGGATGTCATTGGCCCTGCGGAATCTGTGGTTTGGCATGTTGGGCTATGCCACCCTGAGTCTTTTGGGGGCTCAGCATGAGAGGTGAGGACTCTGTGGTTTTTAAAGACACCTTGGGGTGATGGCAAAGGGGGAACCCTGGACCGGGTGGCCCCTTCTTCTAAGTCTCTCTCAGCATCATCTTCCTGTGTGGCGATCATTTGCATCACTAAATGTTAAATTCTCGGAAGACTGTGCTTATTTATCTCAGGGCCCCTAGTGTCTAATAGGTGCCCAACAAGTATTTGTTGAATGAATGAATGAATAAATGAATGTTGGCCAGGACTTAAAATCTGGCTTTGAGGAACGCTGACACAAGAGAGGAAGAGTTGTAGATACATCAGTTTCCAGGTCACACGATGGTTAGCCAAGGTAAACTCATTTCTGGGCTAAAATAAAGCAAACACGTTAATTATTAGACAAAGGTGAAGCAATCCACACATGTGCCTCTGCCTTCCCCGTTGACTTCTCAACGGCCTGGGCTGGGAGTACGGAGACCTGGGAGCAGGGAGCCTGCGGCTCTCTCAGCTCCCTCTGCAGGTCTGCCCATCCCTGAGATGCTGCTGGGGGTAGGGAGGGGCTCGGTGGTAGGGACAGCACAAGTCATGTGGCAGCCACGGCTGATTCCTGTTGGGGTTCTGCCTCTCCCCCACAAACCCTGAAGCATCTGATCTCCCCCAAAAAGAGCCCTGTACTGGATGCTGAGCAGGGAGAGGGAAGCTAGATTCCTCCTCAACAGATGTCACCATAATTAGATAACTCATTATATCAAGGAATAAGGGAAGGAGATTGACATGGATACAAATGCGAACATATTGATAGCTGTTCCGCATGTGAGTTTGTGCAATCTTGGAGACTGATTTCCTGGACAAGGCTCAAGGGATGAGTCAGCGGTTGGAGCCTGGGGAGATTTTCCACAATGATATTCTAGTCCTAGTAAAGTATCCTAAGAGCTTTCCACCCTGTAAGACCATTCCCAGGGGCAGCCGGGGCTGGAAGCCAGCGTGGGTGTGTGCCTACACGTGTGGGAGGGGCCCAGCAAAGAGCCAGGGCCTGGGGGTGAAGGGGGGAGCCTCCTGGGGACTTCGCCCCCAGCCAGAGCGGGATTAAGTGTCCTTCACTAGTGTTCCCATATGACCCGCTCGTTCTGTTGGAGCACCTACCATTCCACTTTGTACTTGCCTCTTTCCCCTGTGGCAAATGGGAGGATTGAACCACGTGATCCTTTCTAGCTTGAACATTGTAAAGTTGGAAATGCCTTTAAAAATGAGGGAAAGGAAGGAAGCAGTGAACTGACACTGAGCACATGCCTGCTTCTTCACTGGGCATTTCACATCGATCACTTTCCAACAACCTCCTGAGGCCAACTGGCCAGCTTTCAGAGGGCCGTTGATCACTTCAATTGGCTGTGCCTCCTGAGACCCCAGGGCAAGCAGGCTCCTCCCCTGTGGTCCAGTTGGTAATCGTACTTAGCACTTGTCTCCTGTGGGGAGTCCTGGGGAGTGGAGGGTGTGAAGAGGGAGAGCCACTCTCACTGGAGTTCGGAATGCCCCCTCCTGCCCCTGTGGCCTCTCTCTGTCCGCCCTGCCCATGCCTCTCAGACACCTCTCCCCACCTCCAGTCCAGCATCCTACCTCCAGAGAATGAGCTCTCCTCTTGCACAGAGAAAAGACAATGCACTGGAAGGGAACTCCCTTACCTCACTGACATGGAAGAGGTAGCCCACCTCCTCCCTTACCTGTGGCTGGTACCTGTCTCACTTCTTTAGAGTCACTGTCTGCCCTTGACTTTATTTCTTGAGTCTATCCTCTCCTCTGCCTTGTGCCTGGTCCAGCCCCTTGCCTTTCTTCTGAGTCATTATGATATGCCCCAGGCCTCTCCCCAGTGCTCTTTCTGCCACTGCTGTCCTCTTCCTGGGCCTTCTAGTTCCCATGCTACATCTCACAGACCTTCTCTTGAACCAACAGAAAGACCTTTGTCTGCCTGAACCTGGCATTCAAACATCTTGCTAAGAGCCCTAGGGAAAACTCTTTTGGGGGGACCTGGAGTCCATAAACAGATCACACTGTCCCGAAGTGGTTGAAACAGGTAGCTTTAAATACAAAGATGCCAGATGTCATCAGCAGTTTATATGCAGAAGCCAGCACTATGCTTGAAATGGTAAAAGCGTGACAGGTTATAGTTACACATTGTTAAAGAACTCATGTCGCTCTTGATGAAACAGTCCAGGCAAGGACTCTGAACAAAAGTTAGAGCTATGCCCAGCCAGCCTCAGAAATGAGAAGAGCTGATGACCATCCATCCAAGAGGCCTGGGGTGCTGAGACCCACACCTGCTCCTGCTTCGGGGCAAGCGAGGGGACTCAGAGGGACTTTGTCTCCTTGGGGACCCCAGGCCATCAGAATGTCTCCGTCTTCCATTGGAGTCATTGGCACCAAACCTGCCGGGAGCAGTGAGAAACAGTGACCCCTTCTGCCTTGCAATCCTTCCCTCTCTCCCCACTTGGTGTTGGGAGAGTGGAAGACAGCATTAAAGCTCTCTGGACTGGCTTTTGCTTGTGAGCCTGTGCAAAAGTTCATTTGGAGGGCCTGTTTGCAGTTCTAGCTCAGACACAAGAAAGCTAGTCCTTACTCAGACAGCTAGCCAGCTTCCATCCGCTGTCTAGCCCTCCCGCCTACGCATTCAGTGCTCCACTTGTCTCTCCCAGTCCAGGCACCACACCTTCCTTTCCTCTGTTTGCCTTTATGGCCAGACCTGACCATCCAGCCATAACCCATTCACACTCCACCTTTCCAGGGGCCCTTCTGGGCTCTGCCTGCCTCCTCTCTCACACGGCCCTACACGGGCCCCTCGGCAGGCTCTATTTTCTCTTACTGGGATTACTGTCCTGTCTTTTCTCCCCTACTACCCCACGAATTTTTCCAGGAAACAGACTCAGTCTCGGACGTGTGAGCACCTCCCCTAGACCCCAGCACAGTGTTGCTGACTAGATGTGACGTGCTATGGAAAAGGTATATTGTTTCCAGGCCCATTCTAGATGCCTTACATTTAATCTTTCCAAAGCCGTAGTAGGTATGTCATCCCGTTTTGCAGATGATGAAACTGAGGTTCAAGGGAGGTTAAATGACTTGCCCAAGATCACATCGGCAGCAAATGGCGGAGATGAATTTGAACCCAGGCTTGGTTGTGTCTGTCCCCCACCCCGCACCCCCTCCCCGCCCCAAGCCCCTACAGTCTCCTGCAGTGAATTGAGAAGTAGGAGGAGACAAAAGTGCTAACTTTCTTAGAGAAGTGAACACTTCTCTCCCAGCCCAGGCTCTTCCCACTGAAACATGTATCTTATATGCCTTTGAAAACTTTTTTAAAAACTCTTGGAAGAATGGAGTAAATGTGAACAACTCAGTTAAAGGTGGGAGCAAGAAAGGATACAGGGAATCAAGAGTTTGGCTTTCTTCTGCTGCCCATCCTCTTCATCAGAGAATTTGGTTTACAGGTTTGGGAAGAGAGAAAAGGAAGAAAGGAGCTTCCAGATGGGAAAAAGTGTACAGTTATCAAAGCATGGCCAACTTTGGGGAAATGCGCAAGTGAAGAAGAATTTTGCTGTGATTCACTCAATGATACTTCTCCATTTTGCCATTTAAAGAGACCCCAGTAAAAATATAAGTAGGGGGTAATGGCTTTCTGAATGTTAGGCTGGTGTTTCTTGGTCACCGGCACATTTAGGCTATGTGCCACTTTGACCTTGCCACGTCTCCCCCCTGTGAGCAGAGGTGTAGGCACCTCTACTTCATGATAAGTAGAATGTTGTGCTTCAACCCCAAATCTCCTCACTCTGGGCCAATGTCCTTTTTCAAGGCCTTCTCCAATGGCCTTTTCTCCTGGTTCTGCTTCTCGCCGTGTGAATCCGATCTGTGCATCAGGAGATGTGCAAGGAGAAAGAGGCTTGCCTCTCTCGTGTCCCTACTCGTGGCAGTTCTCCACTGATGCTTACTTATTGTGCAGAACTGGCCATATGTCTTGACATCTATAGCAAGAGACTGTCTTGAGGCAAAGGAAGCTGATGGCGCTTCTCATGGTCCTGGGCTGGTGAGGCAGGACAAGTGGGAGAAAGCTCGAGGCAGGCAGCTTTCACTCAGTAAAAGGACCCTTCCTGGGGCTTAGAACTTCCCAAAGATGGAATGAATGGTGCTGATCTCCCTTCCCCTGAGTGACAGGAGGAGCAGAGCATCGGGGGAGGGGTCAGATTGGTGCAGAGGGAGCTATTACAGACGAAATGTAGCGTGTGGGGTTTTCATTGCAAGGATAAGATCTGTCTTCTAATCTTGCATTTTCAATTCATGACTCAGGGAAACAGCGCAGCCAGGAGCTTTTTAGAATGTACAAGAGTCCAAGGTAGCCAGTTGTAAGTGACCCAGAAACCAAAGGAAC